AATAATAAAATGATGAAAATGATAAAATGATAAGTTCAACGTAAGAAAAAGCTAGAATTTATTATTAATAATCAAAAGAAAATAAAGAAAATAAAATATATTTAATTATATTTTTTGATATATTAATCATGAATTCATTGAAAATATATCAAAATATATTAAAAAAATTATTATTTTCTAAATAATATCTCACATAATATTTCCATAATATGTTATAATTAGACTAAAATTTTGAAAATAAATATCATATTGATTTATGTTTCATATTTTTAGACTTTTATTCTAGTTGAAAAGTGTTATCTTATATACAAAATTTTGGCTTGATTTGTATAATTCTGAATTTTTTGAATTTTTTTTCCATCTCAAATAGATTATATTTTTCATAAATTAATTTTTAGTTTATTGAAAATTATTATAATTTAATTTCAAAAATATTGAACATAAAAAATTCATAAAATCTTTAAAAGATAAAATAAAATAATTATTTTTGCCATTTTGACATGAATTTTTTAAAAATTTGTCATTATTAGGTTTGAAAATAATAAAAATAATAATAAATATACTAAATAAAGTGTAAAATATATATATCTCATCTAAAAATCATGCGTTAAATTCTATTGGCTCAATTATGATTGATTTATTTGTTGAATAAGATCATTTTAAAATTATATATTTTAATCAAACATAAAGAAATATGAAAAATAATTATGTTGATTTTAAAAATATTTTATTAATATTTTAGAAAATTGAAATTGTTATTATTTCAAAAAACATCAAACAATAAAAATTAAAAGATAAATACTTTAGTGGGGAACGAGACTGGGTTATTATACCCAGATGATACACATGAACAACTATGATACATGCATCCACGTAGTGGAATCTTAGTAGCACTTCTTACTAACTACTTACTATAAACATTCAAGTTGATTTTAAAGAAAAATCAAATAGTAATAAATAAGATGATTTTTTCAAAATACTTAAATATATCAAAATAAAGTCAAATTTAAAAAATAAATATTTTTTTTCTAATATAGTAAAAAAATTTCAAATAAAAAAGAAAAAAAATTGATATCCTACTGCGTACAAATTATTAAATTATTTTTAAACTAAAATAAGAAATAATCATAATTTTAATTTGTTATTAAAAGAAATAAAACAACTGAATATTGAATATTAATTTTTTTTTTAAAAAATTGATAAAAAAATCTAGAAAAAAAACTGAAAACATATTAAAGTAAAGTCACAGGTTAAAAAGATTAATATTTTTGTAGATTTAAATTAAAAATAATAAAAAATTCAAAAGCTTATAGCGTAGATAAACAATTTTTTGAAAATAATGTTCAAATTTGTTCAAATTGAATAACAATTTTTGATATCTTAATTTCTCTCAAATAAATGGGTTTTTTTAACACTTTTTTTGGAATTTAAGTTTTTTTTTATTTTTTTTTAAAAATACTTTAAAGAAATAATGATACCTTATTCATTCAAATCATCCAATTTTAGTCTTTAACAGATCAATTTTAATCTCAAATAAAATCAAAATTTTTCAAACGATAGAAAAAAATTTAATTGAAAATCAGCTTTTGTGAATAAATTTTAAATCATAAATACAAAATAAATTAAAATTTATGTCATTAAATTGACTTTTTTGTAAATAACATTTGATGAAATGTAAAAACGATAAGTTCAATGAAAGAAAAATTTTACCTATGTAACTTATAATCAAAATAAATGAAACCAACTGAAATTAATTCATGTAAATTAGATATTTTGAAAAATCAATCATGCATTCATTGAAAATGTATCAAAGTATATTCAGATAAATCATATTTTTTTGAAAAAAAAACTCATAAAAATTTTTCATTGTATATTTTGGATAAAATCAAAATTTTGTAACCAAATCCAAAATTACAGAATTGAAATTATATTAATTTGAAATAATTTAAATTCTGCTTTATTAGAATCAAAATCTGTTTGAAATAAAATCAAATTTTCCCCAAAAAATTCAGACATATTAAAATCAAATCATGATTTTCAAAACGAAATAATGAATTTTTTAAAAATAGGATCAACTTTTTAAAATAATCATCAGAAATAAATTGAAATTAAAATAATTAATTTAAATATATAAGAAAAATATAATAGTGACTTTATAAATTCCTTTGAATTTCATATAATTATAAATATAAAATTTGAAATCAAACAAAAATTAAATAATCTTTACAGATAAAAAAAATTTCCCTTCATTTGTTTGCAAGTAGTACACTTAGCTTTATGATTTTGTAATTCTTTACAATAGGTTTTTTATTTTTATTTTCTTGAATAAAAATCATGTCTTTTAATCTGATAGAATCTAATCAAAACAAGTTTATAAGTCCTAAAATTGTGTTTAATTGTAATATTTAAATTATTATTAGTATTATATGTTATGATTACAATTAATATATATATATATATATATATATTGTAATCATAAAACATAATACTAATAATAATTTATCAGAAAAGTTATTTATTGGGATGAAGCCATATAATTTAATAAAGGAAATAATTGTCTTGTGTGAAGAGCATGAGAAAAATAATTAAACTTTTCATATTAACATGATAATTTTTTTTAAAAAAAAATTTGAGTGAAAAATATCAATATATTTGTTATCCTGAAAAGTAAAGTATTCTTTATGTAGATGAAAAAGAGACTTTAATAAGAAAGTTCAAGAATGTGAATAGATTGAATAACTTCAATAGATGATAGAAACTAAAGATCAAGTAAAATCGTCTTCAAAAAGTATTGATACTCTTTGCGTACTTTTGAATGGTATTAATTTGAATTGTGTTGAGAATGATGATATTTTTGTTGATATTGATGTTATAATTTTAATCTGGAATATATTTTAAGATCTGCACACAAAGAATCTCAAGTTTGTTGAATAGATTTGAACATGATGCAATGCAAATATTGCAATTATTGATTGAGAAAACTATTTGGAAGCTTGTGAAACTTCCGAATGCAATTAGTGATAAACATTAGTTAGGTTTATAAACTAGATAATGATCTAATTGATGGACTATATAAGATTTTCAATGCCAAATTATGATAAGTGAAAGAATATAAGACAAAGATGTATATTACATTAAGACTTATTTTTCAGTTGCTAAATATGCAATATATATTTATAATCATATTTCAATAAAAAAATATATTTAATGGTTAACCATGCTAGAATTTCATTGTTATGTATGAATGTCTAGGGCTGGAAGTCATTATTAAAAGGTGTCAATCACAAGAAAAAAAGTTACCAGTCTTGAGTATCACCTTCCAATAGTGACATACATTGGTGCTAGAATTTGGCTTCACTAAAATCAAAGTTAAGCAATCTTATCGGATGTTCCATTCGTCTTAAAATATTATGTAATTTAGTTGTTTGGCTGCAAGATCTCTTTATTTGCTTTTCTGTATTGTTCACAACTATTAGCATTGACGTTATTATCACGTTTGAATACGGATACATGGAGAAAAATTTGAGTGAAATAATCATTTGTAGCAAAGTGTTTTATTGAAGTCTAGAAAGAGTAAATTGTGAAGATAGATGTTTAAATAAACTTATGCCACATTAAACATACTTTTCAAGGATTTGTATTATGATCATGATAGTAATTGTAACTCCAAAATTACACTCGGTAATGTCATTATCAGAGAATATAATGTCACTGTTACCATTGAGTGATGTACATTCGTTAGCAGATTTATTAGTTATATTTCAATGGTTCTTGAATTCTATGTAATTAATGGTAATACTAAGTGACACTATTGGGATATTGGGAGGTTAAACTCTATAGTGGCGACTTGAGTGATGTCATCCAGGAGTCGCTGCCGTAGTTGGACACTACGTGTGTACCACGTCAGCCCCAAACAACTAATTGATCAACTGATTCATCAAACTAGATGGCATTTCATCGGTAACTCTACAACCAACTATATTTTTTCAGTTGAAAGATAGAACTATGTCAAATTCATAAACCTTCCAGAATGGGTTCGAAACGCGAGGGGCAAATTATGAATGTTTTGGAAAACATAATGGATGTGGATCGAGTAAATAACAGGATCTCTGTCCCAGCGATCCGTTTAGGCAACACCATGAGCATTGCAAAGTCCTCGTCCTTTGCCCATATCACTACAATATACAAAGAAAGATTAGCTTGAAAGAAGAATATAAGTTTTCTTGATAGTAGAGTAGCAATGGCAGACCTCAGAACGTGTAAAACTCTATAAGATCTCACGGCTGCCCCTACTCCGATCCTGTCTGACTTCAGGGTTCTATGTTGCTGAATTGGAGGGTATAGTCAATGTAGCGCACCAAATTTTATACAGAAATTATTTAAAAATATGTTTCTCTCCTTTTCCTTTGAAAACTGAATTTCAGTTGTTGTATATCATTGAAAAGATTGATTTCTCCAATCTTTTAATTATGTCAAATGGTATACAAAACGGCAGCAACAAACATGGGAAGATTACTCCCTGATTGATGATGATTTCAAATCTTTGAAAGTTGGATTTCTCTATATGGGGATTAATTAAATGATGCGATGTTTGGTGGACTTGCATTGCGGATGGGCTGGATGTTCACCAATTATTAGCCCCATCACAACATAATTATATCGTGGGTAGGAGAATTACCCCATGTTATTGTTTCATGGGGTCATTGTTCTGCTTACACCTGTCTGTCTAGACATACTAAACATCTTGTCTCTCTGGTCTCTGAGAATGATAATTCTCACCAGTCTTCAAAATGCGGTTCCTAGCTTGAATTGATAAAGGAAATTGGTAGATTAAGACGACCAAATCGGGGTTTAAAAAGTACTGAAATAGTCATAAATAATAGACATCTTAGGGCCACATATGTTCTACAACTAATGGCCTCCAAGGGTTTAACACTGACGCGAGCTAAGCCCTAGTAAGGAAGAGTTCCGTTGGGACTCACTTGCGGAAGCGTTTGTATTCTGAGTGTGACATTGAAGCCTTCTGGAGACTGAAGCCGGATCAGGCAGGAATTGCGTTTGAATGCTTTGCTCGAGGATTGAACATGGTCAGTCCAGTGTCTGCTGATGAACATGGCGGCGACTCAGGGTGAGTGTTTATGGATTTGTGGCCGTGAATTAAGAGCAGTCTGGAACTTTTCAAACTTTTGAAAGTTATTACTTTTCAGATGGATTGATTGAATGATGCATTGTCTGGCGGAATTGAATTGAATTGCGGATGGGCTGCTTGTCTACTCGAAATTGATTTACCTCCGACGAAACAATCCAGTGTAACTAGTGATTACAATGTTTAAGTAAGCAAAATTTGTCTGCACTGAGGCAGGGCCAGAGTTTGGAGGTGTGGAAGAATACGGGACATGGAGTCAGTGAACTTGCTCTTGAAGATAAGTGTCGGTTAAGTCGGGGCGAAAGGTGCCTAGGCTAATTCGAATCGAAGTGTCCTTCATAGATCGAATTGAAGTGTTGTTGCATCGTCAGAGTGTATATTTACCTCAGTTATGGCCAAACGTAAAGCTCGACAGGTGTCTCCTGAAGCTGCTCCCTCGTCTCCTTCAGAATCTAGTGAAGGTCCTACTGGCAGTGAGTCCAGCTCTGGATCTGATGTGACCGAGTCAGAGGATGATTCACCTTCTTCATCTTCAGGTGTCTCGGACGAGGTTGGATGCCTAAACTCTGTTCTTTTCACATTTTCTCCAAGTTTGGGTCGTGGAGTGGTTTGTTTACTTTGTGGATTATGTTGTATTAAGTGGATTTATTTTGAACTCAGAAGAATGAGGTGTCTTGTTTTTAGACTTTGATGAATTTCAGTAATAAGCCGTCCTCATGGCAAGGTATAATCGTAACCTGTTAAAGTTGTTAAGTGTAAAAAATTTAGGGCTCATCTATTCATATAAACATTAGGCTTTATGGATAAAATCGGTACTATAATTTTATTAATGTGTACCGACTATTATATGTCCGTCAAAGCCTGAAGACGAAGATCTAATGCCGTCGTTGGGCAATGCCTGTGACGAAGAAATGAGGAGTATACACTGTTTTGAACATAGGATGCAGGTATCACATGCTTGAGAGAGTCACATTTTGGCTTCGGCACAGTTTTGCTAAGTCTGGCGGGGTTTATTATGCAGGAGGGCATTGTGAACGTTGACTTTGAGTTCTTTGATCCGAAACCTACTGATTTTCATGGAGTGAAAGCTCTCTTGAAGAGCTACTTGGAAGATACACTGTGGGATATCAGCGGGTTCGTGGATATCTTTTTAGCTCAAACTACCGTAGGGACTGTGGTGAAGACCTCTAACGATGACAATCCAATCGGGATTTTGACAGCTCTAAACCTGGCTAGGTACAAAGTAAGTTGACACAATTCGTCCTTTTCATCGAAAGTCCACCGGTTTATCTTGGTGAGGAAAGTACAGTTTGCAATTCCATTCGTTTAGTTTGTATACACGTTGACATAGTTTGAAGGATGCAAGGCTGTATCGACTTCAGTATATAATCAGTACGTGTGTTTCAGGATCGTGCTTGCATGAAAGAGATCTATCAGTATCTTTGGAAAAATAGCAATGGAAAAGCTGAGAGAGAAAACCTTGAAACAATGTGGAACAAGCAAGCGAAGGACGTGGGATTGATTGTCAGCGAGCGACTAGTCAACATCCCTATTGATCTCGTCCCTCCCCTCTATAATAGTCTTCTTGACGAGGTCATGTGGGCTACTGAAGATGAGGTGAGTTTTCAGAGCAGTTTCGAATCTCGAACCTGGTGCTCATGAACGTTATTCTTACGCATGGTAACAACATGTCTCCCACCTGGTCCTCATTGTCTTGGTTGTGTATCTCACAGCCAACTAAAGAACTTCAAAATTTCTTCAAGTTCAAGGACTATGTCATCGTGACTCGGGTGTTCGTGGAGCATTCCAAGAAGAAAGGTTCAGATGATGGCAAGCAGGCGAAGGTAGGTATCATACAGGTATTATAACTGAGATGTCAAAATTCAAAACTTCATGCATTTTGTGAATTTGTAGGAGAGATGAGTGAAAAATCTGCAGTGACCTTCGCTGCTTAATAGGATCTACGCTATGATCTGACGGCCCTTACAATTGTAAATTTTTGCAGAAGCAGAAAGGTGTTACTGAGGATAAAGGGGAGCTAATCTACGTAAAGCCTGAAGACGAAATTTTCCATCAGGTTTTTCTATCCGTCGGTTTTTTGATATTGTCTCGCTTTTGCAGGCTGTTTGTGATTAATTTCCTTTCACCTCAGTGATGCCGATAAAGCTCCCAAAATTATCGATTCCAATCAAGCACTAATTGAGTCTTAAAACTGATCATTTCTAACAAAGTATCATGAATATTTCAGTAAGTCGGTCGAGTGGTAATTGAAGTAGCTCTACTCTCTTCGTATGCTGCAGCTATGTACGTGGTCTTTCACTTTCCCGGTGAATGCAGAGTCACTAGCTGCCCACGAGGTATGAGGACCTTGTTCATTATAGTTCTTTGTTCCCAATTTTCTGTGTATTGAATAAAATTTCCTCTCTTTCAGCTGAGTATGCGTGACAGTCTTTTGGCGTGCAGTTATATACCTTTTTCTAAAAGATCACTTCTATTTCCTCGTCTGCAGACGAAAAACGTGAAGCAACTACGTCTGGTTATGGGGTTCCAAGCAAAACGCATGGCTGCTTTTAGGGATGCAGTAAAGAACCTGGCAGAGGATGGTGACGAAACAAACGCAACAGATTCTTAACTTGTAGTCTTGCTAGATGTTGTGAGTACACAACATACAATTTTGGGTAGATCGAAGGAACTTTGAAAACTGTATCGGAGTAGGAAGTATACCACTGATTAGTGAACACTTCAGGTTTATGGCCCTTCATCATCATCAATTGGTTTTCGTGACGAGGATTTTGACTCAACATTTATTCTTAAGCACATTACTTGCTCAATTTAAAGGACGAAAATCATGGACAGTTCCTTATATTAATTCTCCTCAGCCAACTCGATACCTCATGGATTATCCACTTACATGTATTCATAACGACTGGAGGTTCATTGTAAATTCTAAAATATGCTACGTTGTAAAGTTCATAGAGCACCCATGTTTAATCACACCGTTGAATTATTCTAGAATATTTCTCACATTCTAACATATTTTATCTACATTTCTTATAAATTGTCACTGTAGGTATTATATTTATATAATCATATATAGCCCTGATGATCAACTTTTTATTTATGATGATTTTCTATATCGTTAAATTCTCTCTCCCATTATAATTTAACTGAGTAAAAAATACATTGTACTAGATAGTAATTTTAAGTGTTCACAGTGATTTATGTTAAAATTGAAAATATTTGATTACTAATAAATAATGTTAACCCCTGACACTATATGTCAAACGTTATGTCAGTATTGGACCATTTTTTAGGATATATAAGCTCAAAATATTATGCGTCTTAAGATGAATTCCAAACTTTGTAATAATCAGGTTTAAATAAATGAACAAGTTTTATTGATGGTCTTCTTGCGACCGGAAATGACGTATGAACTGATCTTTGTAATCTTTGTATGTAAGCTGGGAAGTACATAGAATTATATTTCCAGAATTTCATTTTGAAAAAACTAAAATCTTGATTTGTTCCATGGCCTCTTCTGCTCGCTAAACCAACATGTGAATTATTCCAAGATAGTTTTAACAGAATTTCACATTTACTTCTCCATTTCATATTGAGTCATCAAAAATTCAAAAAACAGCAGCCAACACATAACTTATTCACAACCATTAACCAAGCACAAATACTAGTAAATGTAGAGGTACAACAATTCTCTTCGAGTTCTGTACACAGCCGGGTACAGGAGATAACTGACAGAGACAAGTGAGAGCAACGTACTACCAACTATGAGAATCGAAATTGGCTACATGCTGGAAACTCTGCGATGACAATCGGTAGGGAATGTATCATGAACGTATCATAAAGCCAAAAAATCTAGCTCTGAAATATCAGTCGTCCAAGCCATTGGGCCCACATTCGAGTGTGGAGGTGGAATGTGAGTTGCTACCCTCCACTGTACTACGTTGCATTCCTGGTCCATTGCCAAGGTCCCGGCCTCAAAGTCTACTCCGCGGGATATCGACATTCGTTGCGGACAACTTGAACGTTTGACGATGATTTCAGATTCAACGTAATATCCCCCATGGATAGTCACGTCCTTCTCAATGCAGTACGGAGTTGTGAAGATAGGATAAACCTGCTGAGCTGGGGGATACACCGGCTTGATCCTCGATGAAGGGAGGGGATATTAAATCTTGAAGAAATTACTTCCAGATCCACTCTTGGATTCAATCCTCCCTCACTTCTTCATCTTACTCATCGTTTCTTCTAACCGCAGCCAGGACATGCGTTCTGTGGTCTTCACGCTTTTCACAGTTCACCACTGCTGGGTACAGTTGTTTGGTTGCATCGAACTCTTGATTGCTTATAATTTGAAAGCTTGCATTACATTTTAGTCCTGCGTTAAAACATCCGTCCTATGACTGTCGACATCAACATCGCTAGTCACTTCGTCTTCTACCTCATTCCACTCAAAGTCAACATCATCAGTATCAGCATCTTCGTCATACTCGAAATCTACAGTATCACTACTAGGTACATGTACAGAATTAGGCTGGTCTGCTCCATCATCTAATCTGCTTACAGAACCGCCTTCTTGCCACTGGGACACGACGCCTTCTTCATCATCATCCTCCTCTAAATCCTCATCTTCGTCCCAATCTGAATCATCCTCAAAATCAAGCCTACCTACTGTATCCAAAGAAAATTCTTTGTCATCCTCATCCCAATCCGAGTCGTCGTCTTCATCTTCATCTTCAAAGAAGTCCTCATCCATACCTTCTTCAGTCATCATAGCGTTCCGAAGTTCAAGAGGAATATCGTCCTCATCGTTTTCGAAGTCTTGTTTCGGCCTTTCTTCCCCCTCAGGCCATCCGCGGTACAGTATGATCTTAGAAGCTTCTTGCGATACAAGTGTTCCTCCGGTAGCATCCTGCAAGATAGACCATACAAACAAAATTCCTTAGCAATTCACAACAAGTCCCACGAGAATATTGACAAAAGATACCACATTAGTGATCATAGATACTCATAACCACTTGAATTTACACCCAAGCCACACACCAGCCTTTCGACAACTTTCAACGACTAGTGCGTGGATGGGAAACGCGTGAAAAGATCAATTAATCACATCCCAATCGTCCAGCCTATGTCAAGATGAGGAACTAACCTCTAGTTGGCGAATTATTTCCTCAACAGGCGTTCCTTTAGCCCTTCCTTTCACTCCAACCTTCACAACCGCATGCTTTTGAAAATGAATTCTGATAGCCCTGGCTAATCCGGCAACAACATTGCTTCCACCTGTGGCATTCATGTGAAATTCGCAACAATTTGGTCAGAAATCTTTGTTGGATTACAAATAGCAACCATGATAATGTTCAAATACCTGATGCATGGTGAACTTCACCACTTTACAACAAAAAATTTGCATGCTTGCACTTGCAGTATGAGGGACTTCCTACTTCACCACAAAAAATATATATAGTTTCAATTTGCGGTGAAGAATGCAAAAACATGTCCCTTGCCTCAAGAACTTGCCAGGTAAACTAACCCGACACTCCACTAACCCGGATGCCACATGCTGCGAATGTAAGATCTTCCAGCAATCTTAAAGTTTATAACCGTACTCTCACAACAGCCACTCTTGTTAACAGTCAAAGGTGAATTCTTACCAACGTTGAAATGAGCTGCTTTTCGCGCTTTCAATGCCTTTTGCCGCAAAATAAGTTTCTCTTTTCTTGATAGGGGATCGGCCCTAAAGATTGGATCCAATCGTCCACGTTTGCTTAAATAACCCACAGCTTTATCAGTTGTCAAACTCGTGTCTTCTACACCAGTAAACTCCACATCGGTATCATCATCTTCAAAGTCGGACGAAGGGAGAGCAGCTACATCCGTTCCCTCTCCATCATCCGATCCAAGTTTGTTCTGCGAACAGGGAGATCCAAAATCAGACTAAAGACTCAAGCTTTTGAACATAATTCAGATGTTTATTTGCAAAAGTCAACCTGGGCTATTGTCTATACCGCCTTCAGCACAACAGCCCTCAGATCCGATCGATCGTGTAGCACAAATTTTTTGAATTTTGAAACAAAACAGCTAAATAGCCTAAACAAGCCAGCGCACATGCAAGAGTACGGAAGCCGGATGTCGGACTTCAGTGACCCAGACAAAGTACATGAAATGACATCAAGTTCGACAACACTGACATTAAAATGGTTATTTAAAAACGACTTACCAGATCTGCTTGCATGAATTCTATCTCCTTCTCCAGAGCCAGCATGTGCCTCTCCAAAGCCTGCCATATTATGAAGCATCGGCACGTATTCAGTAATGACAGAGGCTTTCCGAACATCATAAGCTCGAAGATATTGGAAAACAAAGAAAACCCAAGTCAGCTTCCAAAGTCCAGAATCCAACCACATATAGTTTGGTATAGTACAAACCTCTTGTCTCTGAAGCTCTATGGATCTCTTCAAAGCTTGGCGCTTAGTAAGAAGGGACCGAGGTCGCAGTTCCGGAGGTCGTGAGTAATTCTTCCCACGATATACGATAATGGCTTGCCCTTTTGATGTAGGCAGAGTTCCTACCAAAATTCCTCCACTCTCATATTCAAGCATTTTAGCGGTTTGTTCCAGATCAAGCTTATTCCTTGCCTTGTATATAATTTTTACAAGTTCTCTGTGTTTCCAGTGAAGATGCATGTTTTCAATAGTACCATCGAAAACTCCCCTTCGGCCTGTATACAAAAAAGAGACAGATTACCCACAAACACTTCATTAGACCTCATGTTTCCCTAGGACAACAAGAACTAGACTTTTCGGCACAAGCTTCAAATGAAGTGATGAGCATTTAGAAAGTTTTCGCCCATAAGCAGCCAAACTTCCCCAAAGTCGACTGATATGAGCATCAATTGAGGAACATACCAAGCAGAAGAAAGGCCTTCATCTTCAATCCGAGTTTCAGGTACATGTGCATTTCCTCCTCAGTGATAAGCTCACGATCCACAGGAGGACCTGCAGGCCGGAGGCGCTTTTCGACCTTCTCAAGCTCTAGCTCTGCCCTTTGCTTCTTCGCCATTGTCTGGATAAAACCAAGCAGGAAATAAGAGCATGAAAGAAAAGTAACACCTAATCATACAAATAAACACAATTATGGAAGCTACTATTTTACGCTCGCTAGGTCACCGATCGGAGAGATCAAATCAGCGATTTTGATTAGATAGAACCCGTTCAGAGTCGAAATCCACGGAATTCACGAACACAGTGGTAAACTACAAAACTAACAGACGAAAAGTATACACTCATTGGAGCTTACTATTGCCAATTTCTTCTCGATCCGCCTGGTAAGGTCTTTCTTAGCAGCTTGGCGTGCTTTTTCTCTGTTCATTCGCTCTTCATCACTATTCTTCAAGACCTCCCAATTAGCTCTCGCTTGCAGAGTTTCGGTGAGTGTTCCAGCAACAGCAGCAGTGATTCCTTCGGACGTATCCGGGATAGTAGTGCTTCTTGCTACCATACGAACTTTTTCTTCCTCTTCCTGTAGGGCTTGAGTCATGGCCTGTCGCTCTGCAAGAGCAGCAGCTACAGATGGCGGAAGAAAATCTTTTCCTCGATACAGCACAATGAAGTACTTGTCTCGGGCAAGAAGGACACCACCAGTCAGACGCTGCAAAGATCCAACATTCATGATTGCTTAGAATAGTCATACAGGATCATATCCAAAGACAAACGGAAAGTCCAGGGAAAGAAAAGAGAGAACTGAAATAGCACCAGTCCTACTTGATCCTTACAAAACCCCTCAAAATCATGATAACACGCCAAGAACAAACAAAAAATTTGGTATTTTTAAATCGCAATTGCAAACCTTGAGCTCCTCTCCCATCCTTTCATGATTTGTGTTTTGAACTCCTCGCTTGACAGCAATCTTTGCTATCTCGCTTCTCTCCCATAGTTTGACAACAGCCGCTGCCAATCCGTCTAAACCCCTATTCCTTCCTGTTCGCATTTACAGAGTTTATATTACACACTGACCACAACTCATACAAAGTTCAGAACATCAAATCTGTGCAAACTTGATTGATAGGGAAGAATCAAAAGATTTGTAGGAAAGGATCAGACATGATGAGTAAAAAAAGAGGTGAAAAACCCTTTCAAGCGATATAACAGTAATGTAGACCAGCAAAGCTATACTTCGGTCACGCCTACTAATTGTTTTGGCCATATAGTTTGGGGGAGAGACTTAGAAGAAAACTCCGTATCTGGCATGTGATGCAATCCAATACAATTAGCTGTGTATTTTTACGTCCTTTGGATTGACAACATTTTCTCACATTTGCTAGGAAGTATTTCTACTTATTGCCTCCGAGTAGATTAACATGTCGGACCATGGCCGTATCCTGCAGACTTAAACCACAAAATAAAGAAAAAAGAGTGAGCCATACCAAGAACGAAATGAGGGGGAATAGGTCGAGCAAGTCTTCGCAGCTCAGTCATCTCTGCGTTTGAAAGAGCAGGTTTGACTCCATAAGGGAGTAGCCTGTACGGCTTTTTGAACTTGAAATCTTCAGTAATCAACTGATCGGCGTCAACAGGTACAGGCTTTCCACCGGTCCAGTCATCATAGAGAGGGCCCAAAGCCGAGAGTATTTCCTCCAGCTCTCTTTCCATCTCAGGATCATAAACGCTCCTGACTTTAGGTACTAACACAACGGAGTTTTCTTTCTTCTCCACCAATTCTTCTTCTTCGGTCTCACTTTCGTCATCAGCAGCAAATATGTCTTCATCATCATCGACACTTTCAACCTCGTCCGGGTACTCAATTTCTTCAGATGACTCAGAGCCTAACAGTCCTCTTAGCGGTGGAGGTACGTAATCCTTTCCACGGTAGATTAAACAGGCACCACCAGCTCTCCAGATAACCAGTCCACCCGACTTTTCCTGATATAAGAGAGGTACAACAAAGATATGAGTTTGCATATCTGAGAAGCAAGGATAATGCCTCCTTTATTCTCACAACCAGTCCAATGTTGTGATGCATATTCCAGCTCGAGATTCGTGACTGGACCTTTCCAAAACTACTTAGATCTAGTTCCTTCTGAATGGTCAAGATTAAATTTCTGAAAAAAATATTACAGTGATATGACTGTTAATTCCATCACTTGAAGAGCAAATGAATCTATATGAAACATCAGAAGAATGTAGTTAGTAAGAACGACTCGTACCTCAAGCTCCTGGTGTGTTCTCTTCATGTTCATCGCTGGCGCTCCTTCGCACTTGATTCTCACAATTTCGGAATCGCGCCATTCGTTGTGAATAGCTTCTACGATACCATTAGTAACACCAGCCTTCCCGATTTTGATTCTATGCCTAGCCAGTATGCCAAGGCTCCTCAGTCTTTTCAGCTCGTCCTCAGGAATCGTCAATTCAGCTAGAGATGGTGGTTTAACTCTCCTCTGTTTCTCTAAGGAATCCTCCTGCAACCTTAATTCATCTTCTTCCCTCTCCCAAGGAAACCTGGTGTCTGGGCGTTGCGTTCTAGGCACCTCAGCCGGTGTAGGTACTGGGTGATCGGGAGTGCTCCATCCCTTCTGTACCATTGGAAACAGTGGCTGAGCAGCCTTGGGTATAAATATGTTACCTGAATCTTTGCTTCTTGGCTCGTATGCTTTTCGAGAGCCGGGAATATTGCTGAGTTTTTCCACAATACGTGACATTGCAGATTTTTCGCCTCTACTGATGAAATGTGTAGCCTGAGCATCGTCAGCCTCCTCTCCCTCAAAAGTCTCTTCCTCAAAGTCATCTTTGACGGCTGGTGGACTTGCAAGGCGCTCGATGAGAGGATTCCTCTTGGTGAAATCCCTCTCACCGAAGCTCCTGGAGACAGGTTCCGCATCATTACCTTGGTCCCAGGGTGCCTTGTAGACAGCACGATCAGAGACGAACTGTGATGTCGACTGCTTCGGTGTGACGATCTGAAACGTAGGTGAGGGCCCTTTGCCCTTCCCACTCTTCGTCCTCTCTTCAAAAAGCTCCCATGGCTCCTTACTCTCTCTGGGACCGTTCTTTTGGGCGAAACTTCCCCTCCCGGAACTACTCTGTCGACCTCCTCCTCTGGATTCCCTAGATTCGGGCAAATTCACCCTAAATTTGCCATCGTGCCGAGATATGTCCCCTTCAGAACCACTCCTCCCTGAAAAATTGTCACGCCCTCTGCTATCCCCTTGACGTTCAGCGCTATAACCATCGAAATTTCTATCATAACCTTCTTGTACAGGTGATGCTCTCAAGCTCGACCTTCCTGCATAATTGCCAGAGCTCCCACTATCTCCTCTGGGTCCACGTCCTCTACTAAAACTACCACGCGAATATCCGCCTCTGCTGCTTCCGCTGCTCCTTCCATTCTCCTCCCTCGAGTCACTTCGTCCCCTGCCGCTGGAGCCATTCCTGTCGGCATATCCCCCTCTCGGGAAGCTGCTGGTCCTATTCTCGCCTCTTGACTCATTTCTTCCTCCATAGCCACCTCCATAGCCTTCATTCCCACCTCTGTATCCACCTCGACCCTCGAAATCCCTCTCACCTCCGTCACTGCTGCTGGAAGGACGATATGAATCCTCCTCACGCTCACCTCTAGAAAAACTGGAGCCCGAACCAAATTCCCTGTCGCCGCCCTGTCTACGAGTATAAGAATCCGAGCCTCCTCCTCCTCCTCCTCTGCCTCCTCTGCCCGCACCGCCGCCTCGACCCCCATTGCCTCTGCCTCTGCCCCTGCCCCTGCCCCTGCCTCTATCAGAACCGGTGCTGCGATTGCTCCTATCATTCCAATTCCGATCGCGCCCTCCTCCAAATTTCTCTGTGCGGGGTTCAAAATTGCCTCCACCTTCATTCCCCAGCTCCTGCACATCGTACACGGCCACGGCGAGCTTCTGGCGCTCCACCACTCGCCTCACGGTGCTCCTGCAATGCAGAAAAACTAAATGCGGATCAGTTCCAACTCCGACATGCCCAGCCGAAGCTAAACTCTTGCAGCCGCCGACGACGCACAGCCCGCTGGCCGCTTGCAGCCGCGGCCCAGGAAAATGCAGCAGCGCCATAGCTCTCGATCCCTCGCTCTCGCTCTCGCTCTCGCCGAGACAAGAGCATGCCCCTCCGAGCTAAACCCTGCCTCCCTGATCATCCTCTTACTCAGCCTAATCAGCACTCTCCCACCCCCACGGCATCTGCCGCAGCTGACGTGGAAATGAGGCGCTTCTCCTCTGGCCATTCCAGCTGTCGTCCACGCTGGATGGAGGAGCTCTGTTCTCCTGTCCCCGCTGGCCCGAGCCCCGATCTCTTACTTCCACGTACTCTACCGAGGATGACGTGGAGTGCACTTTTTGAGCGGACTCGGTGTTGGACTCTTGACTGAGGATCGATGACTGTACAAGGTCCTCCAAAGCGCCCATGCACGAGTCCCTCTCCCGCGGCAAGATTATCGACTCGCTGCTCCTCGGGAGCACTGTCGAGGTTTAAGCCCAGCCGAGGGTTTAAGGCAGACCCTGACCTGGATCTCAGGGCTGCAGTCTTACTTCGCCCTTGTCCACGCTGGAGGAACAGGTAGGATAAGCCACAGCCCTCATGAGCGCATTCGTCTCGGGACAAACCGTCACTTCCGGTCAAGGCATCATCGTGTGGATAATGCCCCCAAAGGTGCCCGCAATTGAACCCAGAATCAATGCCTTCTTCCAAAGCATTAATTCTTTGTTTTCGGGCCCGACTGGGAAAGGTACAATGTATCGAGATCGAGAGATCTGTCCGTTATCTATCGGAATAGTCTGTGACCGTTTGTGACAGAACTTTTCCTGCTCCTCGCGCGCGGAACGTGGAAATGTGTTTCCACCATATTCTGCCACCCTTCGATTGACGACATGTTTCAAACTGTGTGCAGTGTGGAAGTAATCCAGCTTTGAGAGCATTGTGAGAATTGCAGAGAAGGACAGAGGGCGTAAGGTTAAGTCGTCCTGATGATCTATCGAGAGGACATTCATGCCGGTGAATGTCCGTGTCTCTTACTGCTGTGTGGGCAGTTGTTGGTGAGACTAGGATTCCACCAGGTCTGACTTCACACCAAGCCGAGAGTTGACGTAAAAGCGATTTAGATTTCGACAGTCGACATTTTCTATTGATCGCTCTACTGTACTCCCGCAGAACGTGCTTCGCTGCATGTCTCGCAGTCCTTTGCGGCATCGATACTCGAGTTCAAAGCTGAAATGTTTCGCAGTGGACCCAGGGCGGCAGCAGCAGCAGTTGCAGTGCAGTAGTTGATTGCCTCGAATGGACCACGCACAGAGTATATTCGCTTCAGAATAGTTGTTGGGACATTAGTTGGAATTGTCAGAGAGACCCACGGCGTGACACTTGCTTTGAGCTCTGAAGGAACGGCGCGTGGGGTGTCCGACCACTTCAGAAGATATGCACGACCTTACGCACCATATCCAACCCCTGGCCCGATGCCAGACCTTATAACCGAGAGTTTTATGCATTGAGTAGCATTGATCACAGTGCACAATGAACAAGGCGAAGCCAGAGAGGATTGTTTTAAAAGATTGTTGTTGACAGATTTACATTCAGAAAACACAATTTGCTCACCTTAACAAAGGCGGATCTAATCTAGTCCTATGTACATACAGCCGGAGGAGATGAGAAGAAGGAGAGGCCGGGGTGCCAACGCAAGACACATGAAAACCAAATCTAGAGTGGCTCTGCACATGCGCGTGCTTTGTCGAGCATGGTCTGCACCAAACCATCCGAAGCCACGAGACCACGAAGCCAGATCCCATCATAACTTGAACTTGTAATCGCAGATGAGGGCGCCCACCGTTGCAGTCTGGGTGAAGATACTCAGCTGACAATTGGCGGTGGAAGTGGCGTGGTGCTTGACAATGTTGGCCACGTTGATTTTTCCCGGTAAACTTGTGGTGACAAGCAAGGGAATGACACCTGCTGTGATATCACTCGACAGATTTGGGTTCCCGATGAAAGCCGAGGCATCAATGGTCACTTGCGTAGCGATAATAGTTGACGACCTTGCCCCCACTTTTCCAGCGGGAATCGGAGCGGACCCTATATTCACGGATCGGTAATACAAGTACGCCGTGCTGGCTTGGTACTTGAAGCTTGCATGGTTGCGGTTCTTCACAGTCACATCAATGTTGAGAGCGAAGCTCAGCATTGGTCCCGACGGAGAAAATGTCAAGCTGAAGCTTGTGAGATCCAACTTGTTCACTGTCACTTCAGGATCTCTGACTTTGAAGACAGTCAAGGCCAGCACGACGATGATGATCGCCACCACTATAATGAGCCCGATCAGGATTGCACACCAGTGGACTCCTCCTCCTCCGCCCTTGTCATCATTTTCGTCTCTTTGATCTCCTCCCATCGCAAACTTTACCTTCTCCCCGATCTGAGATACTCGTGACCCGACGACTGAGCTCTAAATCACTGGCCACCAGTCTGACCGACCTTGCGTTGCCTGCATAAATTTTCCAACACATTTTAGTAGCAGAAGGTACTCAGTTGGATCGCCGGACGACTTAAAAATGCACATTGCAGTGACAACCACGGCTCTGTGGACATGTATCTTTACATTATCGATACCACCACCTTCAGGCATGCTAGAGAAGGTCGAGCTCGGCATACGAGTAATCAATCTCCTCGACTCATTGAACCCGTCCGTATGCAAAGGTCTAAGAAAGAGAATCGATGATGTCAAATGGAACCATCTGCAAGAAGTCAAGTACACTGCGTGTCTGCGAGACGAAAAGTGACGTGTACATGCAAAGAGTCTCCTCGGGTCACAGCCACCCGATCATTGCAAATGTGCCAATTTTGCTGAGACGAGACAATGTCGCCAACAACCTTCGCAGCGCCCAGTGACACGTCAAATGACCGTGCTGCTGCGTACAGGAGAAAACATCGATGTCCATGTATACGAGCCTCAGGGCAGCCACTCTGACCTTTCTTCCCGTGTTGGTGCAATAGAAAAGTACATACCACTCGGACGAGAATAGCCCAGACTGACGAGACGAGACGAGACGGGACTGAGTTCTGAAGGCTGCATCGATAACTCTGGAGGACTCGCTGCAGGCATCAGACTCCTAGAGAAACGCAGCACTGACTGACACCCACGAGCTTCGAGCAATTTACCCACCGATAGAACTAATCACATGGATGCTGCTGTTGCTACAATGCTGTCACCTCATTCTCAGACGATCGACTCGTCGCAGCCTGCCATATTCTGTTCTTTGCAGAACGACCGACCGACGTCCGCATACCCGTGATCAGACAGGAAGCAGAACGCTAATTGGACACGGTAGGTGAAGTGCTCGTGCAAACTCGGGAGGTGTGTCAGTAGTGTAAGAGACCTGGTACGAGGAATATAGGCTAGAATCCGACTGCACATATTTATTGTTTGCACAAACAGTACGACTTAACGGTATGAAACATGTTGTAGCTGTGCCGCAGCCCCGCTTAATCACACGAACAACGAATGAGCTGAAACCTCTCCCTGACACAGACAGTCTCAGAAACAGCTCGACTGCGAAACTTTCGAGACGAGAACACTGCAAGACAACAACGGCATTGCGGACATCCCAGCGAGCAAAACAAGATGGAGGGAGGGAGGGAGGGAGCAAGAGAGAAGCAAGTGAGGGCTCCTACCAGATCTGACGGAAGCGCTACAGCCCGTCGTCAGAACCAGAAGCACTTGACGAGCACAAGTAAGCAACGCCCTGCAGCAAGCTCAAGGCTTTGCTCCACCGAGCATGCAAGCGAGCAATGCGACCCGAGCGAAGGCTTCAGAGCAGAAACGAGACTGAACTGACGAGACGGAATCCCGATAGAGCTCAATCAATCGATCGATCGATCATTCAATCGCCCAGGACTAAAATTTGGCGACTAGCTCTGGAGTCTGAACTGAACTGGACAGAGGAGAGGGCATACAAAAGCCCGACAACCACTGTCCACCTGGAATATAGCCTCACCCGCCGCTATCACGGGCCGGGTCTGGGCCTCAGATCGACAGGAAGTCGGTGCCCGGGGTGAATACGGAGCCACTTAATGCCGGGTGCCTAGATAGGGACCTGCAGCCATCGAACTGTCCGTTAAGTGTCACTGTGCACCACTCACTCACCGACTCGACGAGCAGCTTGTCTCTTGCACCGCTGACATTAATTTCCTCCACTCGGCACGGAGCCATTCGCTCCTGCTCAGGGAGGAGCTACGAGACGGGCCCTTTACCGGCTGCTGCTGTGTGCGGAATTGACTGCTGCGATATTTTCCCAGTTCTGTGCTTTCTGTGGTAAAGTTGCCTTATTCTAGGATTTTCTCCCTGCTTTTCCAGTGCAAATGGCCACTTCTCTTCCCCGTCGGCCCAGGGCCAGCCAGCCAGAGGGCTTAAAGCTTCTCGAAAATTGGATCCGACGAAGTCTTGTTAATTCGGAATCCAGAGGGAGGGGTGGGTGCTGCTGCATTTCACATCTCGTGTATCCTTCTGGAGCTCTAAAGCTCGGTCCCACTGCTGTCTACGGTATTCGTCAACCGTCTGCGAGTATCGAAGCATGCGATATGCCATATCTGCGAGCATCTGCCACAATCCTCGAAGTTGGGAACTGACCTGACCTGACCTGACCTGACCTGACCTTTTCGGGACCCGTGTGGCGGGTCGATCGCGACAAGGAGTTCGGAAAACAGTTTAGGAATGACCGGACGGTACGGTTGTTACGCCCGCTGCCGATGACATGCCGGTGTCACAGTTCATGCAATTAGCATTACTTTCGTGGTTCACTTTCATGCTTCGGAACATCTCCAATTCCGTTCACACATATAGGAACGAGACGTACTGCACGTGTACGGTGGGCTTGCCATTGGGACGAGTGGGACAAAATACTACCAACTGCTAAAGAGTGGAATTTTCCATTTTTCCGTTCACTTGCATGGAGAGTAGTATGTGGGGTCGCGTTCTCATATGGTCTAAGTACGACCGTATGTTGAGATAAAGGATTTGAATGATGAAATAACATTTCGCTCTACCCCACCTCTGGAATATTGGAAATTAGGCTTTGGAAGCAGATATCAGATATTTGGAGTAAAAGACGGTGATAATGTAAAGAAGTAAGTAGTACCTAGAGGATAGCCTTTACCAAGAGAAGCTCGCTCAAATGCAATTTTATATATATATTGAGGACAGAAGAGTTTAGCGGCATGCTTATTATGTGTATATCGTGATTTAGACTCAGCCTAAGAGGTCGACCTATACGGAAAGGAGGAGTTATGCATCCTCACGATCAGTTTGGCAGTATTGAAGACTTGCCCCACATGGACACCTTGTGTGAGGAAGATGAGCTTTTCGGCTATCAGTTTGAAGCGGAAAGTGGCAAAAGTGGTGTAGCCTTTTCACCGTGTATCTCATATGGCAAGAATATTGAGATGACGTTATATGGAATTACCAACAGATTGTAAGGTTTAATAGGAATTTGATATCAGCACAGATATCGCATGTGACAAGGACCTTATGGCCTAAGGTAGTCTTAAACAGACTACCTACATACGGATATATTAGGAAAAAAACAAACTTGAAGCAGAGAATAGGCTTCCCACTTATACAATGGGAAGGAAGTGGCAAGCCTCCAATTGATAAACAATTTGCTTCGGAGTGAAGCAAATTTTAATCTATATTTATCAGAAAATTCAGATTCATAATAGCGTGCCAAAGCACTTAAGTTTTCTTTGCTACTTCTCTCTCTCTCTATTGAAATTTCTAAAAGATATTAATAAATTGTCAGAATTAATGTTGTCATTAAACACAGTCAAAAATTGAATTTTTAACTCAAAAATCTCTATTATACAGAAACTTAAAGATTTTGATGAATTTATGCTCTATTCATAGATTGCCTCATGCTGATCTAGCAATTATATATGAAAATACAGTGAAGTTTTATCTAAGTTTGATAAAAATGGCTTTAGACATAATGATAATCTTTTAATTTGATTTACATTACATATCAAACATAGGAACATAAATTTCTTCTAGTTTTTATATATTCACAAACTTCGGATCAATATGATTGAAAATGACGTAACTTGAATAAAATCAACTATGTGCATTTTTTGTGATACATAATGCAGAGGATTCATTCAATGCTAACACAGAAAATCATTTTACTGAAATAAAAAAAGCATGCGATGAGTCTCCTCATCGTGTTAATATATCAAGACAATGATGGCCAACATCCATCATAGAACCCAAATCCAAAATAATGCCGATTGTTGACACATAGTTTACTTAACAATCTCACCACTTAATACATGTTGGAGTAGCATCAACTTCCTTGGTTTAAATAATTACTTTGCGAGAAATCCTAGAGGGAAACCAAATTGAAAGGTCACTCTTCAAATAAGACCTAACTAGAACTAAAAGTTAATCAAAACAAGATGAAGTAATAATATTAAGAGTTAACTAAAAAATGCTAGTAAACTCTATCTGTGACTTTCATGCAAAACTTGCATATTAACACAATGTCTCTAAGCTCTTCAAACTAATAACTTTGGTCGATGCATAAGCTCGATTGAATTTATCGTTGATATTGATTAGTTCAATATTTTTATCACAAACTGCATGTCTTATAGAGCGATATTTGATATCATCATCACGACCCAAACAATTCACAAATCAACCAGTGTTACCTCCTATACCAACCTTGACAGCTGGAGAAGAGGAATTTGAGATAGAAAGTATACTCAAGAAACGGATTCGAGGTCATAAGGATTCAAAGATTGAGTATTTGATTCAATATATCCATCATACGAATCAACTTGAAAACCAGCTAAAAATCTAGCTAATGCACTGTTGATAGTTCAAGAATTTGAACGGATGTACAACGAGGACGTTGCGTCTTAAAAGGAATGAGGTTTGTAACTATCTTTAGTTAGTTAGAATCAAAGTATAGATTACTCTAAATATTGATATATATACTTTAGCGTGCACTGGTCATAGTTGTCACTTTAGCGATCCGTGCGCTTGACAGGTAAAGAGTAGGTGTGTTAGTTGATAGTGTCACGTCAGCGATCCGTGTGCTTGTTAGGTAAGGATTGAATGTGTTAGTTGGGAGCGTCATGTAAGCAATCCGTGTGCTTGTTAGGGTTATCCGCCATGCCATCATCCATTAGGAGTGAGATGGATGATGAGTATCAGATCTTATCTTCTTGTACTTGTTGATGAGAGTTATATAAGGTAGAAGAGAACCATTGTTGATATCTCTCAACTTGAGAGTTTATATATTTATCTTTGAGTGAACTTCTCTCTAAACCTTAGTGTTACAGTTAACTAAAAAATGTTAGTAAACTCTACTTGTGCTTTTCATGCAAAATTTGCATATTAACAGAGTATCTCTAAGCTCTTCAAACAAATAACTTTGGTCAAGCATAAACTCGATTCAATTTATCGTTGATATTGATTATTTTAATATTTTTATCACAAACTATAAATCTAATAAAGCGATATATAATATCAATGTGCTTCATTTTGTTGTCCATTATTTGATTTGCAACAAAATGTAATGCATTCTAGCTATCACAATAGAAATTGAAAATTTCTTGTTTCAATCCCAACTAAGTGATAAGCTTATTCAACCAAATATTTCCTTTTGTTGCTTATGTTGCCGCTACATATCCAGTTTACAACGTAAACTTTCAATTAATGCATCCATCATCAAGTGTAATTACATACCTAATTGTAGTTTACTCTGATCGAGATCTTGTTCATAATCAACATCAACATAACAAGGATTTGACAATGTCTAATAAACCATCAAATAATAAATCATAACCTTTAGTACCCTTTAAATATCTGAGAATTGATTTCATTGCTTTTCAATGCACCATCCTGAATTTCACATGTATAGATTCAGCTATCTCATTGCTAGAGCAATATCAGACCTTGTGCACAATATCAAGTACATGAGAATGTCCACAACTTCATTATATGATACACATGACAATTTTACTTTCTTAATGACATCAATTGAACATTGAACTACAAAAAGTTTGAAATGTGTTGGCAGAGTATTTCAAACTCCTTTACAATTTTCCATTTTGAACTTGTCAAATACTAGCTTAACGCACTTGTGTAACCATCTTTAGTTAGTTAGAACTAAAGTAGAGGTTACTCTGAATATGGATGTAGATACTTTAGTGTGCACTAGTCATAGCTGCCACATCAGCGATCCGCGCACTTGGTAGGTACAGAGTGGATGTGTTAGTTGACAGTGCCACGTCAGCAATCCGTGTGCTTGTAGGTAAGGATTGAGTGTGTTAGTTAGTGTGTTAGTTGGGTGCGCCACGTCAGCGATCCGTGTGCTTGTTAGGGTTATCCGCCACGTCATACATCCACTAGGAGTGGGATGGATGGTGGGGATTAGATCTTATCACCTTGTACTTGTTGGTGAGAGCTATATAAGGGAGAGGAGAACCATTGTTGGTATCTCTCTCATCTTCAGAGTTTACGTTTCTATCTTCGAGTGAACTTCTCTCTAAACCCTAGTGTTATAATGGTATCAGAGCGACCTTGCTCTTTCCTTGAGTGTGGATTACCCCTCATGGAATAGCAAGTGAGTGATGATGGAGTGTAGTCTTGAGAGTGTATAGAGGCTGGCAGAGGTCATTCATCTGCATGTAGAGAGAGGTGGAAGGGGGAAATTGTGTTTTTGCAGATATGGACGGGATTGACAAGAATCCAGTACCGCACTGGCCAATTCCTAACCTATTCGATATTCACCTTCGTTGCATGGAGAAACATCATTTTCGGATGTACCTTGTGGCTTGTTGGGGTGCAGATTTTATGACTAGAGTGATGGAGTCAAGAGTGCCACTGATTCTTCCAATAGTTACTTATGGAGAGACTTGGGATTGTACTATATACATTCTATACTGATTGTTTCA